AGCCTCCCACCCCTGGAAGGGGAAAGCCAGGGGGCGGGGGGCAGCCAAGGAGCCGCTGGTGAGCAGAGGGGGATGAGGAGGGCTTGGAAACGTTGCTGAAAAGCAAGACAGGCATATCTCGTCTAACCAAGGACCAGACAACAGATAAACATCATGACTAATATGTTCCTCTCGTACTCAACTGCACGAGTCAAGTCTTACTGGAACTGGATATTGCTCCTGGCACGCCGCCACGCGGAGTTTATCACGGCGATTACAAATCTTCTATACAGCGCTATACCGCCTTGCCTTCCACCTCGAAAACAAGGCTATGTTCTCCTGCCTCTAAGAACTCAAAGTACAAGATAAACATTTTTTTTCTATTTATTTATTTGGGTTTTTTTTTTTTTTTTTTAATCTTCAACCAATAACCGCGCTGTTCCAGCCCCAGACGCTGGCAGAAGCACAGCCGGAGTGGACACTGGGTACCTGGCACATTCGCCACCTGGTACTCCTGGCTGGGTTTCCACAGCAAGATTATTCTTTATTTATTCGATCCTGAAGACGTTCCGGGCTTTGGGGACAGTTTTATGTTCTTTGCGCTCTGCTTGCAGGGTACAAGGCATAGGCGTGCGGGCAGGTATAAAGTAAAAGCAAGTTCGTAAGGAACTCCTACGTACTGTTATAAAAAGCCGGAAAAAAAAAAAAAAAGCTTTCTAAGAGGAAAAATTCACGGTAGGCATTAATGTTGTCACAACCGTGCAGCAACGCGGGTGGCAGGAGGCGAGCGCAGGGACAAAAGCCGAAGCAGACGCCGTGCCACGCAGGGAGAGCGTCCGGGCTCCGTACGGACACTTCCCTGCCCTAGGACCTCCGGGAAGTCCCCGGGATGAGACGCACGGACCAAGCGAGACCGCAGGCAGACCCCCGTTCCCAGGGCAGGTCCAAGGACGCTCTCCCCACCACGGGGATGAGACGCCAAGCTCTGCCTCGCCACCCCCCTCCTGCCACCAAAGCCACGCTGGCACTCGGGCGCGGTAGAGCGCAGGATGCTCGCGTGCTCACCCGGCACGGAACGAGGACAAAAGGCAAATCCAGCTCCTCCGGGGCCGACCTCTGCTTTTGCGCTACCCAAAACCAAGCTGGCTCTTTTCTTAGGCAAAGAAAAGTGGAAAATTCAGCCTAAAATACAGGTAACCCAGCAACCCCACAGCACCGTGCCATCTCCCTGCGCGTTCCCAGTGAGCACAGATCCATAATCCCTGACCCCAAAAGCAGCACTACAGCTCTCCCAGGTCCCCTGGCCCCAGCCGGATGCGGCAGCGATGGGAAGATCCCGCTTTAAAACAGGATGCACAGGAGGATGCTGCGATCCTTCCCTTCGAGGATAGTTTCGCTCTATTTTAATTGCACATTAAAATACACCGGGCAAAGGGGAGAAAATCTCCGCTCAGGTTTCCAGGAGCAGGTCAGCTGGCTGCAGTCGCTCTTGGATTACAGGGAAAAAAAAAGCTGCTGAAGGAACATCACTCCGGTTGCAGCCCTGACTTATTGTTCTCTCGGTGCCTGCAGCGATTTTGTTTTTGAAGAGCTGAGAACAGAGTGTACCGAGTGCGGCTGGCACATGAACTTGATGTGCTGACAGCAATTTGTACTCAGATTAAAAACGGAGAAGGAGGAGGGGTGTGGGGGGGAAAGGTTGTAACAAAAGCTGGAATGCCAGATTTCCACTGCAACCCGGGTTTTAGGGACCAGAACTGCGAATTAGGCTCTGTAAAACTTAAAAACCTATAAAAATGCTTTCAAAACTCCAGCCTGGAGATGCTCGCTCCTGGAAGCATGGTTTTCTTCCAGCCTAATTCCAGTGGTGATGCAC